CGGGAATTGATGAAAATCACCACAGATAATTACGTGCACACCGTCGAAGGATTTGTTAGAAGAGGAGGACTTGCCAATGCCAATATTGCGAGATAAACGCGAAAGAAATGATTTGCTGATCATCGAGATCTCATCGATGATGAGGAACGAGCGTTCTTTCCAGAAGTCTTCCAATTTCGCCTTGTTCGCCGCACTGATTTTGTCACCCCTCAGGCCCATTGCACCGATCGTATGTGTTGTCTTTCCGTCGATCAGCGACGCGGCCACCCCGGTATAAGCCGCTTTGATAAGCCAATGCTGAACAGCGCGATCTCGAAAGGCTCTTGTGATTTTGGTAATAACCTTCGACTTGCCCGTCCCACCTTCGCCATGGATTAACATGCGCAAGGGAGGCACGTCTTGCCCCTCAAGTGTGCGCTCGAGGGCCCAGAGGACGATGTCGTAAGCGCGTTGCTGGTCAGGCTGGAGAACAATGTCTTCCTCGTCACTGAAATGGTTCTCGCCCCCCTCTGTTGATTCGTCGCGTGTTACGGCGTGGTCAGCGGCAACCGTCTGTTCTGTGATCCTTTCAACGCTGGGTCCCATTGCCGAATCGTCCCTCGCCTCTGAATCATCCTCTTCGTCTTCGCTCAAGGTCGGTAGCATTCCGTTTTGTTGCCGAGCCAAGTTGTCTAACTGCTTCCTCCACTGGATCAGATTGATGAAGTCATCGCCTGTCGCTTGAGCGACCTGCGACCGCGTACCATCGATGGCCCAACCATCATCAGAGCACTCGAACATTTTGACCAACCGGCCTATCTCAATGGCCATATTGCCGTGATCTCTCTCTCGCCGTGAGAATTGCTCCGCCATCAGGGTTGCGATGCGTTCTTCTGAAATTTCCGGCAATACGATGTTGTCGTCGTCAATGGCAACCTCTTCCCCGTAAGACCCAAATTCACGATAGTCCTCACTGTCTAATTCGTCGTTTTTGCTCGCCATCGCAGCAGATTGACATGCGTGATAGAATTGGATGTTCGCCAAGATGTCTTGCACACGCGTCGGGCTGTTATCGACGAATTCGGTGAACGCTTCTCCCCACGACAGGTCCGGCTTCTTTAGGTCGTTCGCAATGGTGCGCCATGGTTTCAGTAACAAAAGCATGGACGATTGATAGAAGTCAGATTCATCGTCGTCATCTCGTCGCGGAAACCATTGGCCAATGAAATTTGGCAATGTGTTGTGTCCGGAACCGCGGACGATTCTTTGTTTTTGATCATGTGCAGGGTGCGCGGGTTTGTAGCGCACACGGATGTTTGACGGACGGCCGCGCGTGCCACTTGGCCTCTGCTGTCGGTCTTTCTCCACGATGGCCACTTCGTACGTATCCACGAAATAGTCCATCACGCTGTATGTGTCTAATTCAAAACCGCGTTCAGCATAATCCGTAAGCTGATTTTTGACAAACAGATGGCCGGTCGAATTGGCTCTCAGCGTGACATTGACACATTCGTCAGGCTGAAAATCATTGAGTGGCTCATTCAGTCTCGAGATTTGTTCTACCCACATTGACAGATTCGTCCGAGACTTCATGTTGTCCGGTCGATTCCGATGAATCTTCGTTGTGAGGATGGTTGGCGCTTTTTGATCTGCCGGTACCATGACAAACAGATCAGAATAATCACGACTGGGATGCGTAGTTACGTACCGGTTCCATCCACGGATGCTGGGGAACTGCTTGCATAGTGCTGACGCGAATGTGGACCAATAAATTGGGACATAGTTGTGCGACTTGTAGTTGTCACCCCAACCCATGAGGTAGGATATGACCATTGGTGCGCCGAGTTCCTGTTCGCGGTTTATTGAATGGACGAGGCGAAAGATCAGCAGTCGCTGTTTGTCTCGAAGGTCCCGAATCTGTTCTTCAGGGACAGATTGCTTTGCTGCGTGGTAGGCGTAGCCTTTGGCGAGAATTGCTGAGGTGTTGTGCTGACAGATTTGCGGTTTTGTCGCGTATCCCACAATGTAAAGCGTAATTTTCTTGGTGTCCTCCCCATGAGTAAGCAGTTTACAGTCATTGTTACATCGCATTTGAACGAGCAACGAAGGGTTCCAACCGTTCATGAACTCGTAAAGCCTTTTGGGTCCCCAGTCACCATCACTGGTGATGAAGTCGTCGTCGGAACAGGTGAACGGCGCGCGACGTTTGCAACGCAATCGTCCGCTCTTGGTAACAACGAGACATCGGCGAATATCGCAGGTGTGAACCTGCTCCGTTCGCGCTAGACGTCGTTCAAAGTCCTCTAGTCGTTTGGTGTAGTTCTCCGTTTCGGGGTTGGGGGGCCGACTATACGCGATCTCTTTCTCGACCGGGATTTCTCTGACACTCTCCGCTGACTCCAGTCCGGGGACGTATGCACGCATGTTTGCCCGGATGTAGGCAATGATTTTATCTCGGAATTCTGGTCGTTGCAGCAATTGTAGCATTTCATCCCCATTCGGGGCGTAGCGCAATACAGCGATGAGATGGAAGTGGAGCGCAGCGCGGTTCTGCCCTTCGACCATTCCGAAATAGGCGGCCAATTCACCAAGAACGCCCATCTCGCTTTGTACACGGGATCCTGAGACGCGAATGCCAAACAGAGTCTCCAGAATGGTGCGTATCATGAAATGGAAGAATTTGGCGGCCGCGTATGGGTCTGCCGCGATGTTGCGCCCGCGCTGGTCTGCATCGGGGCCAACGGACGTCAGAAAGTTGTCCAGATCGATATGTTCGCCAGCGAAAATCTGTGCGATGGGATCATGAATGTCGGATGGATTGATGGTAATCCACAGATTCCAGGGGCCCATGTAGAGTATTGTCGACCATAACTGACTGCGTAGAACAGTTCGTGACTCGTTCGAACCCTGCACGCGACCGACAGCGGAATGTACATGTTGTCGCAACAAGCGCACGGCGGGATCTGTTATGGGTTGTTTACGCGATTCCTCCTCCTTCGCCTTCTCCAGAGCTTCTTGGGTAATTGTCGAGAGGATACGTGCATCCTTTTCAAAATCCTTGCGCCGCATTTGCAGACGTGCTGAACTGAGCGCCTGTCGGCGCTGCGAGATTCCGAATGCGACAAAGGGAAAGGTTTCGTGGCGACGAAACCTGCGATCGAAGTATTGAAGAGCCCATCTGGTGTGTTCTGCAAAAGATACGTCGTGTGCTCGATCTGCCTCCAATCCACCAACGCCATAAGGAAACAAACAGGGAAATGCTCGTTCGAAGAAGTTTGGACGGTCGGGGTCGGCAGGGTCTTCACTGGACGATGGTGGGCGCCCGAAATCGCTGACAGGTCGTGCTCCGTGTCTGACGGCATATCCACCTTCAATGCCGGTGTTCCAAAGGTTGGCAAGTCCCCACTGCATCATTTCGTTCGTGCTCATTGATGACAAGTCAGTATCGATTGTACCGGTAACCGTGAGGGGAATGACATCGGGACCTGTCAGTATTGAGTCGGTGTCTAACGGTGCGCGCAACGAACGTACGGCCATCTTTGTCCTGACCTCCATGTGCCACGCCTGGGTCACTATCTGAACGTGGATCGGCAGATGAAGTTGCCTCGTCGTCGCCTGACGAGATTTCTGAAGCAGGCGGTTAGTTCTGGCACTCGACTCGTGAGATGCTGCTGACCATCTGGGATTTCATCAGCTTGATCATCGAGATGTTGATCTCGCACGTAGCCATCGCTTTCACGTTGAACGGCTGCTACATCGTCCGACTGTCGCACCAGACACGATATCTCCATGGGCACATCATCTTCCGGTAACGCCGCCATGCGTTCTGGATCAATCATTATGTCACCATAATACTTTCGATTGTTCTCCTTCAACCAACACAATGCATCGAAAACCACGCGGCGACGTACTCGGAACGTCGAATGCAGCCACTTTCGGGGTACCCTGCCAGCACCGATGTACGTGACGGAAATGACTGACGCGAGAACAGCGGGTGGGCGGGGCATCAAATCGCCGACCAACATGGAGGAAATCCCCTCGGCGTCCAGCTCATACGAGCTGACTGTGCCACGCATACCGCGTTGCAATTTGGTTGCATCACGTCCACCGATTCGCGGATGGAGTTTGAAGACGAATACTCGTGGGTAGACCAACGCGACCAAGAGTTGCTCCGGAAAGGTCAAGACCTGTAATTGCCAAGGTATGGGGCCTATCCACATGTTGTTGGCCAGTGAGAACTTAGGAGGGCGTTCACCAGGTTGCGCCAGACTGGACAAACATTGCGTGCAGACGTGGACGTGAACTTCGTTCGCTATGTGGACAACGCCCGCCGGTTCCAGGAGCTTGCCATCGAAGAGGGTATGGCCGGAATGGATAGTAGTTGGGATGAGCCGATGGGAATTGGGCAATGAGGACAAACGACGAGGTGTGTCGTCTTCGTCCGATCCAATACCCGTGTCTACCTCTCGCGCACACACTCTGCAGACCATCATCGCCAACGCGGCATTCGACGTGGCCTGATAGAAATTGCGGTATGTCTGGTGTCTCTGCTCCTCCGTCGGCAGCAACATGAACTTGGCGAGGTCTCTGCCGCTCGCCAAGAACGCTTCACGTGAGACGGCAGAAACACGCGGTCGGGGTGTGTTGGTGCGTGCTATCTTGGGCCTGCTCAATCTCTGGTCATCTTCATATTCTCGGCGTTTGCGCTTTAGATGGACTTGCTCAGTCAGGCGATCTCGAGCGGCGACTTCAAGCGTTCGTTGTAACCCGTCCGATAACTCAGCGCCAATGAATTCTAACAGGGTCTGCCTACGGCGTGGAATGCGCTTTGGAATAGACACGCCGAATTCGGACAGGATAGCGCGAAGGTCTACCGCTGTCAGGGCTGACAATGCGGTGTTGGTCGGTGTGGAATGAGACATGTGAGCACGACTGACTCCTTTCCAGATTGCGTTGTACTAATAGACGGAGGTCGATCAAACTCCTTTTGCTTTCAACGAGCATCTCCTCCACTCTTCGACATGCAATCCATCAAGCCCGATATCCTCGATTCTCCCTTTCATCTCGCCGATCCCGATATTCTCTCTCGTGTGGTTTGGAAACGAATTGCAAACAAAAACTGGCTCGTTACCACGGCGTCCGTCGCAGCAGCTGAAGCTCTTGTAGCCCCTGAAGCGACAGAGGGTGCAGACGCCACCGCGAAGGGTGTGGAAGCCGATCCGACTCTTTTTGAGGTCGCCGAGATCCATGCAATTGCCACGGTCGCCACCGATGGATGTTATCTGAGCCCGGATGGTGGCTTCCCGACTGCGGGTGGCCCTGGCGAATTGGCCAAAATCGCCTTGACTTTCCAAGCGACGGCCCCGCGGGTCGGAAGCAAGTACGCGGCGGCTTATACCAAGTCATTTGGCGCACTCCGCCAAATCGTCGACCTGGCGAGGACTCCAACGTACGGTTACAAAGGGACCCTCGACTGGAAAAGTTTGCGTCCTGGTTTCAAACTCCGACATGCTCCTTTTCGTGTGAGTGTGCTGACTGTGACCCGCCCCTGTCTCACTTTTGTTTGCAGATTCCGGATGCCGGTGACGATGATGACAAAGGCTGTGAGTGTTTTCCCCTTTATCTATAATCTCTAATCTTTATGTGGAACCTCAGCGTACGAATTGAGCGAGTGGCCTGTCAAAAGTGAGCTGGCCCGCGAAGGGATACAAAGCATGGAAGGCAAATACGTGGTGGACCGTTTGTGTGCGTATGATTTTGATGGGAGGATTATCGCCCCGGAGGATTACACGAAGAAACTCCCGGGTGCTTCAATCGCGGTCACTTTCAATATGACCCACTATTCGTTCACGAGCCAGCAACAAGACACATTCGTTGCAGACATCGTCAAGATACGCGTCATCGAGTCGCAGGTTGCTCCGCCGCCTAGCCCGAGGAAGCGTCGACCGGTGGTTCCTGACATGGATGAGAGCCCGAAGAAGAAGAAGACGAGAGCTGCTGGAGCTTAGTCACAATTTTCTTGACCAGATGATTGCGTATGATAGCCCGATTAAAGTTAAATTGACTGTCTCTGTAAAGTGTAGCAAGGCATTCTGTCGGCGGAGCCGACGCTTTCTAGTTGGAACTGGCATCATTGGCACCATCAAAAATTGATGCGCAATCAAAAACAGAGCCATTTGACGTGGCAGTAGAGCATGTGATTGATGCTGACAAAGAAAGTGATGAGAAACCAAAGTTGTAGCCCTCACAAAACTGAACAACTTTCATCTACACACATGGGTGATCAGACCACTGGTTGGAGTGCAGCATCCAAAATGGTTCCCATGATGGGATCACTTCAGAAATGATGTGGATCAAAGTTTTGAACAAAAAATGGGTAAACCTAGCCTGGCAGAATGCTCAAACAATCAGCCAAAACAGCCTAGAAACGGCCCCAAAAATGCATTTATTGCCCCCGGCTGCCAGCTGGGGTCCCACCCGCCAGTCGCAGGTACATACCTGCACTCAGGTAGATACCAGACTGGTACATACCACAGTGGTAGCTATGCTGAAAACTGGCCTCTAAGGTGGGTCCCACTTTCGTCATGACGCCCCTTAGAGGCCTAGTTACCCGTCTGACTGTAGTGTAGGATCCGGATTGATGCGTTGTTCCGAATGCAAACCCACGTTCATCAACTGAGTGCCTAGAATCAATTGGATCGCATCGATCTCGGGAAAATTGACGGTTTCAGCGTCGATAATGGGTTGGACATTGTTTGGGTTGGTTCCCATTATAATAATTACACAGCGTGCGTGCGTGCGCTCATGAGCCTCAGAGTTCGACGAGAGTGACAGAGAGTGGAGTCCGAGATAACACCACACGCATATATGAATTACCCAGTGGCTCCGAACTCTTGTGAAAGTGAAGAGTCGTCATTCTGAATCCGTTCATATAACTGCGTCCAGAAAAGGCTATTTCTTCACTTAGCCTTCAGCGCGTCACGTGTAGCAGTTTCAAGTCTAAGCTTCAATGCTATAAGAAGTCAAGTTCTGCATCTCTCAGCTGTCGGAAAAAAGCATGCCGAGCAATCATCCCACTATGGTGAAGTGACACCCACGGTATAAAATAGCATACGACGGGCTCGTGTGGTAATGCATGAGGCATTTAGAAAGTGTGACCGTTCTGGACTCTTCCCAAAAGGCTGGCAATCTTGGAATTTCCCGAGTCGCACATCGAGACTGTCCAGTGCTCCAGCTAACGGTCGATGGGTCTCTAACCTGGGTCAGAAGCTGAGGCGACGGACATCGAAATGATTCCAGGGAACATCGCTTAGTATTCGAGATTCCGTGGAGGCATGAGGCAGAAGCAGGCGATGTGCTTCACTAGAGATCTAGCGCGGAACGGACGAAGCTCAACTACAGCATAGTGCTTGCCAAAAACATTTTGCCACGGACGATGCGCACATCGCCCCTTGAGCCATGAAAACGAAGAGCTGATAGTGATTCGATATAAAAATACATTGAGTCTGAATAAGGATACAGTCTAGGCCGGGAGATAGATCGTCATCATGTTTAGGCCGTTTCTGCCTCCGCGTCCGAGACACTCGACTGCGAGCTGCTGCGTGATAATTCGGAGCGAATCGAGCTACCTCGGCGCGGATGAAGTATTTTTTGGACAACACGACGCAATGAGGTTGAGTCTCTCTTCTGCAGATCCATCAGTGTCGGATAGCGGTGCAAATTCAAGAAGCGACGCACGGGAGATTTTTCTGCTGCCGGAATCTCGTTGCTTGGGGTTGAGACTGGGGGTTGATATGTGTCACGGGCAGGTGGGGAAGTCTGATGAGGAGAGAACTGGAGTCAGAATGGATTTCAGAGCACCCGTGGAGAGATCGACTCACGTAGCCGTAATACGCCATCACAGAAGAGCACGACATTGCAGATGTATGTGGGTGGGTTGCAGTGTGAGTACGATTGTGAGTTGAGCTGGAAGTGCACCGATGGCTGCTGGCGATGGTGGCATATCCAGTCGCGGCAGAGTGCCTTATAAACGATCGCTTAGTCGGGTTCGTACGTGTCCAGATGCAAGAGCCAGAGGAACTCTCGAACGGTCGAAGATGCCCCGGTGTGATCCGATCGGCCTTTGCGGCTGCAGCGGGTCGGGAACACACGGCGATCTCCATGTCGACGTTCGATGATGTCGGGGCGTTCGATGGCGTCGGGAATTTCGATGATGATGCTTCGACGGTGAGCCGATTTCGATAATCGAGTCGGTTGTAGGAGAATTTGAGTGTGAGCGGAGGGCTGGGTATGAGTAGGCTGATCGTTTCCTTCTCGTGTTAATGTTATTTCAGAGCTCTTTCGCGCTTGTGTTAGAACTCGACTGAGCTTCGCCCCTGTTTGAGCTTGCAGGAGGAGGGAAAGTGATCAATTGAATGATGCAAAGCTGTCAGCGCGCGTCACGCGTCACACAAAATCGCACGCATCCATGAACCACATGGATCATGACCGTCACCTTTCATCTTTCCATAACCCCCTGGTCGAGTTTTTGAAGGAGCTCGTGTTGATCTAAAATCTAATCATGTTATTGAACTTACAATACTAGTGAACCACCGACTTCCTCTATCTGCCACTCTACATACGACGAGAGGGTCGGGGAAGGGCACCAGACTGGGACTGCTGGAGCAGCTGTGCACCGCTACCGTATGGTACGTGCTTATGCGTTGATGAGCAAACATCTTCTAGAGTGCCGTCTATTTGCGTTTCGTGTATTCATCCCCGTTATGCACCCCCAAACGATTCCACGTGCAGACTCACTCCCGATCCGCCTACGCTAGTGCTTCGTCTAAGCGCCCGGCGGACATGATTCGCCAACCCGCGTGTGCCGCACACTGTCGCGAATCCAGCGCCGTAAGCTCCCCGTGCATAAAACCCGGACAAAAGGGCTCACCATTCACAGCCATCGACCCACCGCCTACCGCGGCGATCTCACTGGCAAGCAGCTCGTCGATGTCCGGCCGTCCCCGCTGAACGCGCACACACGCGAAGCGCTGCAGGCGCGCCAGATCGGTGTCTGATTCCTCTGGGCCGGTCGGTGTCTCCAAGTCGTCGTCCACCGCACCGTCGGTGTCCTCCCTGCTCTGCGTGACATGGATACGAATGTCGACGTCGAGCCCCGGGTTGGATATGAGTGCCGGGAACAGGAGGGGTGATATCGCGGGGATCTGGTCTGTGGAAGGCCTGAGATGCGGGTGTGAGGAAGAAGCGGGAGGGAAGGACGCACCAGACTCGCGCACGGACCAAACAAAGACTACGCGTGCACAACACAGATTGGCCTTCGCGCATGCGGCTCTGCATGGCCGTATCATCAGATCGCGTAAACACCACGGCCAGAAGAGCGACACACCGAAGGAGATCGAGGAGGAGCGGAAGCGTGAACGAGACGCCCGAGCCGCCTGCAAGGAGCAGTACCGATGCGTACCCCAGTGCACTGGGCGGCGTGCAGTGGGGGCCATCCACCAGCGCTCCAAATATGGCCGGGCCCTTCGCAGCGAGCGCCGCGTCGAGAAGTCGGCGTGTGAAGCCGCGATGGACACGGATCAGGAACACCATCTCACGCATGGACCTCTGCTTCTGCACCGACGACGACGACGACGAGGCTGAAGACAAGGCGTTGGCTTCTGTGAATGAGCGCTGTTTCTCCAATCCCGAGTTACTTGACCCCCCGCCGATCGACGCCTGATCCTGCTCACCGTCGCCGAGACTCGCGATGGAAAACGGGTGCGCCTCCCAAGGTGTCTGGCTGACGTTTGGGATCGCGAGATATGCAATTTGGGCGGGGCGCCAGCTGGCGCGGCTGGGGAGCATGATCGAGACGCGCAGAAAGTGCGGAGAGATGACGTCGACCGTGGCGTCGAGAATGTCCGACTGGGCGGCGGATTTGCCGAGCAGATAGGTGTACCCGCTGTTGACGATGAACGTGCGGATGAAGCGCAGGGCACGGTCGAAGGCCCAGATGACGAAGGAGGGCCAAATATACATGGACTGTCTGTTGTTTTTCGCATAAGTGCTCACATGAATATACTCATAGCGTTTCACTCACTGCTTGCCCTTAGTGTGGTGATACGCCCCGACGAGCAAGAACCTGTCCTCGTTAGTCTCTCATATGCTGTTCCGGATCGCAAATGACTCACAAAACACCAAGCAAATGGCCAATAAGGAACGTCTCGTAGGCGCGTTGCCGGATCAGACGCACGGAGAACGTGCAGAGCAGGGTAAATGCAGTGACAGCGGTGATACCCCACCGCACCCACCACAGCTGCAGGAGCGACGTCATATAGTGTCCTTGAATACTGTGCAGTGGGTGTGGATGAGCTTCAGGTGAGTCTACAGTGAAATTTAACGCACGCCGCATGCATCTAACTCCTCCTTCAGTGAATGGATCGCACATGGAGATCATGACACTCACCTGTGAGCCACCGTGAACCCAGATCAGCACACACAAGGCGCGCGCGGCCACCCGATGCAGAAGGTTAAGCTGTGCGCCAGTGAGCTGAGTACGGATCAAGATCGGCTGCACGCACCTTATCCAACGAGATACCCGTCAGATCTGTCCAAAATTAAAGTCAGCCAAAATACATCTCCCATGGATCAGCCTCACATCCGATGATGTTATTCCTCATCCCCAGCGCGACGACCATCGGAAACTGTGTCGACACGATGTAGGCTGCGCGGTTCGTCCAATAGTAGAATTGCAGCTGTTGGCCCTTCTGACTTGTCGCTGCCAGACGAATCAGCCAATGGGAGAATCAATCGCACAAAACAGATCACTCACTGTTCACGAACGCCCAAGTGAATATCACTCCGATATACCCAACCGCCATGAAAAGCTCCGCCACATCGAGCGAGTATCCGCCGAACGAGACCGTCGAGTAAAATGCCACGCGACGGAAAATGTACTTCAAAGCGGCGGGGAGACGCATGAACGCCGTGGGAGGACTGGGAGGGACTCCATTCCTGCGACGAAGACGATGGACGAGCGCCGAAGTGATGTTGACGAGGGTGAGGAGCGCGATGCAGCCTGCGAAGAAGTACCAAATCTCGTACGGATACCCAAGGTTGCGGGCGCTCGAGATCTTGAAGTCGGGGCTCGCGTAGGGGTTCGGTTTGGCGGAAGGCTGCGCTGGGTGGCTCGGAGCGGAGGGAGGAGTCATGGTCGAGTTCGTTTCAGCGCAGCGATTGTGCAGAAACTCAATCTCCTCGCTCCTTCCTTATGAATATATTCATTCGCCAGGCCTCTCTCCCTGCTCCACCGGGCAACGAAAGAACACATGAGATCGGGCCCATATCTTTACCGGATGCTCGTTTGATCCACATTGGTTGACCCTTCGCCCCACGTGAATGGGCGATAGGGTAAGTCCTGAAATACACCCAGCAATTCTCCGTCGCTTCGGAAGTTGTCTTCATATCGTCAACGACGGCTTCTGAGCTTGTGAGCCAGACATCAAACACGCCATCGGCTGTGTGGAGGAACACGCGAGTGACGACTCGGCCCTTGATGGGGCTATCAGAAAATACCGCGGGCCAATCAGGACGCACGGCGCCTGACCTGGCGTGTCACTGCGTTTCCAATGGATGCTGCATCTTGATTCCAGGTGTGCAGGAATATGGGCAATCTTTCTTGAGGGTTGGTTGAGCGATCGTTGATCTTTGAGGGAATTCTGCTCGACCATCGATGCTTTCTCAGCCACATAAGCTCCATGAAATCAAGGGAACATCCGCTCCATTGCGACCCAAATCCTATCTGTGAAGCACCAAGAAGAAGCACGAAAATCGCAATAACACCAGAGTATGAGACCAAGTAGTGTTCACTGCGTTCACCGTACAGATCACATTTCTTTCTGATGCCGTACACAGACCAGCAAGCCAGCAATCCATCATATTCACAGTCTGGAGAGGACTCGTGGAGGAGATAAGAGTTGAGGACAGGTATGAGGCCAAATCCCTCACTTGACAGGTTCGCACTCAAGTCACACACACGGCACACTGATCCCCGCGCGTGCACCCGGGGGCACTTTGACTTCTGAAAGATTTCCATATGCAGTCAAGTTCTCACTATGACCGTGTTTTTTTTTTTCTGGGTTTCCGGCATCCGGTTCATATGTTTCTCTCTCTCTACGCACTCCGCGTATTTTGACAGGATCGACAGCCCGTTCCACACGGGTGGCTTCTCTGCCACGGTCTGGACATGCCACGGTCTGGACGATGAAGCGCGTCGGCTGGAGATGACGGGAAACATGAGGTCTATTTTTATAGAACGCCGTCGCAAGGAACAGCCAAGGCTCGGAAGGGTTCTTTGCATTGCAGCGGATCAAGGAAAGTACTTGCCTGGCAAACTATCTGTCAAAACTGCTCCATTTTGTCTCTTCATAGACAATCCCTTTTCATGCACTACAACACAGACCGAGCGAGCTTGTGTATTGTTCATTTTTTCCAAGGGGAAATGTTCGGAGCTTACGGCCGCCGTTGGATGAGGTTCCCTGTCTGTGGAAGTATGTGGATCGAACGACCATCAACGTCGTGGACGGCGTTAGCACGAAGGAGCTCGGTATTTCCCGGCGTTCAACGGCCGGATATTCCATACTTCCTCTGAAACCTGGAGAACCGCGGCACTTTCGAGGGGCCGGCAAAGTGCTCCTAGACCGCGACCCTCTTCTACATTTTCCCCTCGAGCTGTATCTCGCATTCACAGCGCAGCCTCATCGCATGGGATGACCCCCGATACGAGTATCGGCCGGGAGCAGAATAGACACATGCGTCACACGCTGCGGTGTGGACACACACCGACAGGTCACACGAACTACTGTGTGCACTGTTTCCAGAATCTCGCATTCGACACAGAGTGTGGAGACACGTCGGTAAGCACGAAGACAGAAGGCTGTGTGTGACTTCGGCCCGCGACCGGGACCCGCGCTGTCAGTTGAGTTGATCCTGTCTCGCCGCGGCATTGCCCGAATGGTGTGTTTGCGCCATGACCACGTGACTCTCTGTGATGCGACGTGACTCGCTCAACAGGATCCGCCTTCTCCAGGCAACCGCATCGGCAAGCAACAGTTGCTCGGCGCAGGACGCCGGCTGTGCTTCGGAAGTATTTCCTGCAAAACTGGATACCAGCCCTCTCATTGGTGTAAAGGTCCCAGGGTCGTAGGCTCGGGTCTCATTCGGCCTCGGCTAGGGTTATTTCGGATAACGAGCCTAGTCCAACAATAACGGGGACCTTCGACCTGAAGCATTCTCGCTACTGGAAGAACTGATACTGCCAAAGGATATCGATCTAAGGAGTCAGCTCAAGTCGTCGCCGCACCGTTTGTTCTTCTCTCTTGACAGGAACTTTGCTCGGTGTATTGCTTGTAACACTATCAAAGATTCGCGCCAGGGGAGCCACTGCCGCACAGACTGTGCTGATTCATGCATCGTCAGGCAGACCGCGCTGGTTGCACCTCTACTGTATCCGGGAGTATAAGCTATTCAGAGAATCTCAGACGAAGGTCGCTGACTCTGTCCAGCACAGCACGGGTTTCTCAAGACGGATCCATATTTGTTACCGCAGCCGACAGAGAGCTGTGCGTGATGGCTCAAGCCTTTCGCGTGTGATAGCCCTCGTCCTCCAGCTGAGATCAAGGGGCGAGTTGGGCGATGAATCGAAGTCCTGCGCTGCAGTGACTCACTGGGCGTCCTGTTTTGTTACTTTCTCTGCTGCTAGTACTGCTACTGCTGTTGATTGAATGCTTGGATCTCTCGCTGAGTCGTGGCACTGAATGGCGGACTATAAGTAATCGGTGCTCACTTTGTCGAATGCACTCTCATCCGCTCACATCATCACCTAGCAACAACCCACAGACATAATGTCCGGGTCTTCGAACTCCTCCAAGTCTGCCGTCGACTCCTCCATGTTTTCAAAGCGCCGCCGAGCATATATGGCCTGTACGAATTGTAGACAGCGCAAAATCAAGGTAAGCTTGCATCTTTACCGGACAACTCTGATACGAATGACCGATCGCTTCCAGTGCATCACTTCCTCCGATGGAGACTTTCGGCCATGCACACGATGCGCGAAGCGCAATCTGCAGTGCGAATACGTCGCAGTCCCTGAAGAATTCGGATACGGGTACCAGACCGACTCTGCGTCTTCAGGGTCCACAAACGCCTCCGGACAATATCTCGCAGCTGCTGGTGCTTCGTGGGCGCCCCAAGCAATTACCCCGCCCTCCGCCGGTCTCAACAATTACATGCAACCGAGCGCCGGTGGCCCGTCCAGCCAACGCGCTTCTGGGGCTCCCGTGCAGCCCTACACCAGCTCCCGCGGCGACTACTCAACTCAATTGCGAGCTCCACAGCAGGGGAGCGGTCTCCCGGCCGCGGGATACCCGTATGCCGGGAACTACTATACTGGATATGGATCCACCCACCAGCAACAGTATTCACAACAGCAAATGTACGCCGCAGGCGGTCCGACTCAACCCGTGTAAGTCATTTCTATTATCCTGTTCCCGTGAGGTGCGACGCTCATTCTGAACAGAACGTGTGCTTGTCCAACGGATGGACCCTGTTATTGCGGCGGGCGGTACTATAATCCGGCATAGGACTCGACGGGACCGGAGACTTAATTAAACGCCCCAAGTGAGGAGTCACGGGCGTGTAGCATCTTTAATTGGTGGATTGCCGAAATACGGAACTTACTTACTACCATCAGTTGTGCGATTCTTGTAACAGTTTTGAATGACCCGAATTAGACGGAGAGAATGGGCTCCAGCTCACTGCTCGAGTTTCCCTAGCTATGAAGCAAAGCGGGAAATGTACCGATTGGGCGTGCGTGTGATCGACGCTACAGCCACTGATCCTCACCGAAACGTGAAGCCGAGGCGCCTCACTTCAGGACAACGTGGCAGAGCCACAAAGGTCAGAGAGCCTGAGAGGATATACATGTCGACCAGGACCACCATAATTCGAAGGCGGAGCACGTTCGTTGAGGGGTCGGATCGATGGATTGATGCCAACTTTGATGCCCCGCTACCATCCTCTTTCTTAGCTCGTTCTCAGTCTGAGCGCAAGTCCGCGCGAGGCGGATCCGACAAAGTCAAACAACGGACGGAGAACGTCCAGATAGATCGGGAGGCTTCTTTGACCGATCGTCTGGCTCTTGCACTTTCGGGGCGTACCCGCGATCGGAGAAAATTAAATCAATACTGCTTTTGTCCGCCCAGCTGCAGCTGTGGACCAAAAGCGATGATTGTGCGCTGAAGAAGCTGTGTGTGACCACCCGTGAAGATATTCAACCTACAACACCGTTGAGTACAAGCCTGAATAGGGAGATTTTATTACTGTAAGTGACTGGTTCATGGATTGGATTACTGATCTCTCAATTGCCTTGATTAAAGATATTTTGAACTTTGAGGCAAAGGAAAATCCCTCTTGAGAGATTGAACCGCTATAGAATCGGAGTGTTGTTTGCAAGAGGATCAGAGATGGGAAGCTTTTCATCAAGTGCAATAAATTTCATTCCAGTTTGTGTGTGTTCAGGCCACGTCTATGATAGGTCAAGAGTGGCTAATTTTAAAAAAGCTACAACTTTAGGGTCTTTTCGGCTGCCAGGCGCAGGCGCAGGAAGTTCCCCGCCACTTTCTTTGTCATTATCAATCACATGATCCACCGCAGTGTGCGAAGCTTTTCATTGCACATCATTTTTGCATGATGTGAGTGATAGAAATTACAATCTCATCCCAACTTGCAATCTAGAAAAAGTATGGAGGCCCGGAACTATATGCTGATAAGCGAGTGATGGATCACTGATAAGTGATAGCTCAATGTCATAGGATCAATGTTGTGATATTCGAGCCCCCGAACACCATTTCCACAATTTTTGAGCAGTCAAATATCATTTAAAATAAGGGAAGATACACACGCTTCGATTAGAACTCCCGGATCATACCAGCCCTCATTTACACCAACGTCGAGGATGTTTTCGAAGCTGGGAGTGAATCAACGACGCATCTGACTCCAAGTGATTTCCGGCATGACATTTTTCTTCTTTCACATCCAACGGTGCTGAGAGGTGCCAATAAGTGAGGGGTCCTGATAGTGGCGCAGCTGTGTGTGTCCATTTGCAATGCCCACGTTCTCTGACCCAGGATTGCTCTGAGTCACAAGCGGGATGACTACCGTAAAACGTGAATATCAGTCCAAAAAAAAAAGATGGAGACAACACGTACTCCCAAGCTGTTCCACAGCTTCAAGATAATAGCTAAAGATAAGGCGTGGATTACTGTTGTTCCACCAAATCTTCAACCAATGAATCATGCCAAGGGATGGGTCAATTCTGGTCTGTAGCACCAAACCAAACTTGTATTTCCATTTGTCATGCTGATCGACGGCCCATATGTCATTGGTGCCTGCTGCCCAGAACCGCTTACACTTGAAGTGACCACGTTGGCACTCACGAACAAGATCTGGCTCATAAGTGCCAAAATACAGCATCACAGTCTCTCTAGAAACATGTGTATTTGAGTATATAGGAACACAATGAAAGGGATCACACACCAGGACATGCACACATTCTCTTCATGTAATAACAAGCCAACCATCTTGCGTCCACCAGCCTTGGGATAGATTGGACGGAGTTTGATGATAAGTGCCCAAATTGTTTCCACGTTGTGGGCTTGATGACATGTGCGTGTGAAGCTGAGCTTCTTGCGAATCTGTCATAGTTCGGCCACTTTTTCATCTTATCATCGACGATCTTATCTTATCTTGGCACGACTTATCTTATCACGGCATCAGACGGTCCGGACTAGGGGTTCCAGGGATTATCTTCATCGATTCGAGGCTGCGCGACATATGCTCTGGAAGGTTCTACTACGACCCATGACCAGCGTTCCATGCGGTACATAGCCCTATGACTCATTAGTTGTAGATATGACTCAGACTGGATTTGGGTATAAATACTGTAGCTACTTGGTTGTATTCTCCAGTCTTCGAATTCACTTCTCTTTTCGACTTTGTTTTTGGGTTGATTGTCACAGAATCTTTCTGAATGTCTGAACTCTAATTGAGGGCAATTAGTAGCCTGCATGAATACACGTGAAAACACCCACTCCAGACCGTATTTGTTGAGATCAATATGATGTTTCTTGAGTATCTCAACAATCTCAACATCCTTTTTATTCTGCTTCCAGTACTTCTCGATAAAAGGCCAGAGGTATTCAGCATTAGCTGCGATGGTTCACAACTGAGGGCAAGGTTGAATAGTGGGAAGTGCAGCACTTACAAATGGGTTTGTATTGATTGGGCATGTTGGAGATTTATGGGAACCGCAGGTGGCACGAAAGAATTGACGAGGAGCTTTGTTTGGAGTGTGAACAAACTAGGACTCAATTTATATTAGCAATCTGAGAACAAGATCAACAAGGTGAGTACGGCAGCAGTATGGAGGCCAGGAACAATATTGGACACAGCGTGTCCAGCCACACTAGGGTTCCACTGATAACCAGGCAGCTATTAACCTCAAATTTTGTGCATATTTATAACACGTTGTATTTGTATCTCCATGAGGTATGCAATGAGTCTAGCAAGTGCTCATCCCTGTTCAATTTTGGTGTTGATGCTGATGTCAGGTTTATTTCTAGTGTTCTCAGAGCGCCTTGAGCTTGGTAACGAGGCTGCCTCAGTCTCAGTGTAATTTGGTGCGTGTCGTGGATCTTAGGTTCTTGATCAACGTGTCTGGTGGAATGTGTGACAATCAACCCAAAAATGAAGTCGAAAAGAGAAGTGAATTCGAAGACTGGAGAATACAACCAAGTAGCTACCGTATTTATACCCAAATCCAGTCTGAGTCATATCTACAACTAATGAGTCATAAGACTATGTACCGCATGGAACACTGGTCATGGGTTGTAATAGAACCTTCCGGAGCATATGTCGCGCAGCCTTGAATCGATAAGGATAATCCCTCGAACCCCTAGCCCGGGTTGTCTGATGCCGTGATAAGATAAGCCGTGCCGAGATAAGATCGTCGAAGATAAGATGAAAAAGTGGCCGAACTATGACATTACCCCCTCTCTAGGGTCGATGTCCTCATCGACTAGGCCAATGGGCGTGAAGACGTTCTCGTAAGGGTCAAAGAGTTGTCGTTGGGGATAGGGGAGGCGCTCATCCCTGGGTTTATAGCGATGAATAAGATAGTCCCAGTGTCCAGCTTCGAGAGTTGGTAGGAGGCGAATGCGTGTGTCTGGGTTGGATTGTTTCCTCTGCCAGTCTCTCAGGACGTCCTTCGCGTGGGTAAGGTGGCGTGATGGTTCCCAGGTGTTCTCGCTGTGCGGCCATCCCTTCCATTTGACCAAGTACTGTTTTCCTCGGCCGACTTTTTGCTCTTTCACGATTTCTTCGACTTCCCACTCCTCTGCTCCTCCGATCATCTTGGCTACGGGTCTCTTCTCTCGGCGATGGGGGGGTGGTTCGTGATAGGATGTCAACAGTGATTCGTTGAACACGGGGTGTCTTCGGTCCGTATCCGGCAGATTCAGCTTCCATGCGGCCGCTCCAACCTTCTCCAGTATCTCGTATGGTCCCAATCTTTTGTCGCTCATCTTCTTCGATGGTCTATCCGTCTCGATATTTTCCCCTTCTATGTACACCTTCATCCCAACCTTCAACTCCGGAACTTCTTTTCTTTGTTTATCGTAGTATTTTTTCATTTTTTCTTTTGCTTTTTCCAATGCTGCTTTTGCTTCGTCTTGTATTTCTTTGATTCTTTTTACAAATTCCTCCGCCGACTCGTTTCTCGATTCCATCCGCTGCTCTACTCCCTTCCATGGGTGATATTCGCGATTGGCGTAGAATGGTGATATTTTGGTAGACGTGTTCATTTTGTCGTTATATGCAAATTCCGCCATTCCCAGCCACTCCGACCAGTCCGTCTGATGGTAGTTGACGTATATGCGGAGATAGTGCTCGATCTCCTGATTCATGCGCTCGGTTTGCCCATCCGTGATCGGGTGATATGCTGTCCCCGGGTTCATCTCCACGCCCAACATCCGGTTCGTCTCCTTCATGAAGCCCTTGATGTATCGTGAGTCCCTATCGGTGATGATTTTGCGAGGGATCCCGTGATAACGGAAAACCCAGTCCCTTGTCAACCGTGCTACTCCTTCGCTGCTGATGTCAGTACTAATGGGTTCGACATGGATCATTTTGGTGAAGGTGTCACACCACACATGGATTGCGTCATACCCATTACTAACCGGCAGGGGTCTGATTTGATCCATCGAGATGATTTCCCACGGCGCATTTGGAACTGCATGCGGGTGTAAAGTCCCTGTCCTTGTTCTCCTGGTCTTGGTCCGTTGGCACGCCTCGCACGTCTGGATGTATTTCCGAATTTGGTTTCCCATCCTGGGCCACCAGTAGTTTCTTTACACCATCTCCTGCGTTCGGTTGATCCCAGCGTGTCCGACCAACGGGGTGTCATGGTGTAGCCCGATGATCTTGTCTCGCAGTTCCTCGTCCCTTGGTACGTAGAGCTTCCCATGGTACGTGATGAGCCCGTCTTCCTTTTTCCATCCAACGAGTGACTTCTCCAAGGCCGCCTTGACGCTTCCATCAATTGATCGAGTGGCCTTGATTTCATCGATTAGCTGCTGATCCTGTCCCTCGAATGTGACTTCTTGTGATCGGAAGAACTCGGGCTTCAGTAGCGTGATGTCCTTGTTGTCGTTCTTGCCCTGATCGTGATCTGCTCGTCGAGACAGGAGATCCACCTTGCGGTTGAGTGTGGTGAATGGTCTGTACCAACCAAACTGGTAGCCCATAGATTGAGGGCCACATCAACCTTTGCTTTGAAGTTCTAGCATGTGACAAAATGGAACTGGGCAAAGTCAAAATCATGGTGATTGTCAAACAGCCCCAGGCACACAGGTCTTGGCTGTCATGAGGTAGCAGTGGCAATGGTGGAGGTGGGGAAAATGGAAGGAGGACCAACTATTGACATCACAAGGATGAGTTACAGTCAAGTACTTAGATACAGAGATTGAGAGAACAAGCGCCGGGTCGGTGTCGTAAGGTGAAATCAAACTCCGCCAGCTCCGTGATCCATCGTGCTTGTCGTCGATTGAGCTTCTGCGGCTTTCGGAAGTACTCGAGATTCTGATGATCAGTGAGGATCTCGAATGTTTCCGTGGCTCCCAGGAGCAGCTGCCTCCATTCATCGAGTGATAACATGATCGCGAGCATTTCCTTGTCGTAGATCTCGTAATTTCGCTCGGTTTCGGTCAATGCGTGTGAAATAAATGCGATTGGGCGCCAAATGCCGTCTTGGTTTTGGCTCAAAACTGCTCCTGTTGCCCCTTCCGAAGCATCGGCTTCCAGACGATATTGGCCAGTGTCATTTGGCAGTGCTAGGACCGCATCCTCTGCGATTCTCTTCTTCAACCCATCAAATGCTGCACGCTCATCTGCACCCCATGCCCATCCTGCCTTCCCTGTCAACCGTGTCAATGGTTTGGCAATCTCCGCATATCCCCGAACAAAGCGTCGATAGAAGTTGGTGAACCCTAGGAAGGCTTGTACTTGTTTGACGCTCTTTGGTTCTGGCCATTCCATCACGCCCTTGATCTTGACTGGGTCCATTCGCATCGAATTGTGTCCAATAATCACACCCAAATATTCGATTTCCGTGCATTCGAACTCGCACTTTTCGGGTTTCAGGTACAGCTTGTGTTTTTGGAGCAGTTCGAGTACTCGTTTCGTGATCCGCCGATGTTTGTCCAAGTTCTCTGTGAAGATCAGTATATCATCAAGATAGACTACCACGTGGCCCTCATTGATCAGTTCTCGGAGTATGTCATTCATCATGTTTTGGAAGGTTGCCGGGGAGTTTGTGAGACCGAAGAACATGACCAAGGGCTCGTACAGTCCGCGGTTCGTGCGGAACGCAGCCTTCCACTCGTCGCCCTCTTTGATCCGTACGTTATTGTATCCCCACCGGATGTCGAGCTTGGTGAAGAACTTTGCACCGCATAGATTATGGACCAGTTCAGAGATCAGTGGCAGCGGGTACCGATTTCGGATTGTCATTTTGTTCAGCTTCCGATCATCTTGGACGGGGCATAGCGAGCCATCCTTCTTTTTGACAAAGAAGAACGCTGATGCCATGGGTGATTTGGAAGGCCTGAACCGTCCGCTGGCCAGGTTCTCTTGTAAGAACTCGTCCAGTTTGACCCGTTCGTTTCGTGATAACGGGTACACCTTGCAGTCCACTGCTTTGAAACCAGGTTTGAGCTCGATTGCATGGTCCCATGCCCGTCGGTCTGGCAGCGAGTCGAACGATTCCTTGGCAAATACTTTGACAAATTCCCGATATTGATCCGGAATCTTCCCCTCGGTCATTCTCTCCTTCTCTTTTTCCGCTTCTTCTGCAAATTTCTGCGCCGGCGTTTCCTTCAACCGTAGATCCACCTCCTTCCCAAAGTCGATCAACAGGATTGACTCTCCCTCTTCCAGATCCGGTGCACCTGCGTCCAGGTCAATCGCATCCATGTCGATCATTGCTTGATGCTCCTCGTGACCCCTCATGTGACACCGCTCTGGGCATCGACTGAATCTCATTGTCTGCTCCTGCCAATCCACCTCGGGGTTGTGTTCCGTCAGCCAATCAAGACCGATGAAGATCCGAGCTTTCCCTAAACACGTCAGAAGGAACGTGCGTGTCTCCACATGAGGGCCGATTCTCATCCTTAGGTCGACGTAATGCGTGATCCGACCGCTGATGTTCTCGGTGTTGTCGGCGTTACGAGCCACAATGGGTTGGGGAAGTTCTTGGATATCCAGCTTCTCTGCCCGCGCGTAGTCGGTATTAATGCAGCAGGTGCTACAGCCACTATCAAGTAGCGCCTTGACTCCGCGCGTCTTTCCTGAGTCCAGGCCCGTGATCTGTACATACACATCCATCGAATGTCTCTTCCTTTCGGCCTGGTAGTTGCGCAGTTCCTGCGCCAGTCTGCTGGGTTGCGGGCCCTTCTGTCTCTCGGCTGCCCATTTCCTTTGAACGGCATCCGGCACCCTCGTGCGTTTGGGTGCTTCTGGAATCCTGATTTCGGCAGATTCCTTGGGCGCTTCCTCCTTTTTCAAGGATTGAGCCTCCGGAGCGATGCTCCCCTTTTCGGTCTTTGTTGACGTGGTTCCTTCTCCACGAGCCATAAATACGTAGGAGTCCAAAATTAATTTATCCGCAGTTTTCTGATCCTTTTTACTCTGTAAATACTCTCTATTTAAAGCTATTTTCTTTTGACGTTCCTTTTCCATATCAGCAACAAGAAAATCATGAATATTAGTACGTAGGGAGTCTGAGATCGTGTATGCATGAGGAGAATCGTTCATATCTCTAATCGAAACAAGTATAGAAAAACGTCCATAGTCCGGACGCTCCACCTCCTTGGCTAGAGGAGTGGAGTGCTTCAAAAACCCTTCTCGTGCAGCTTCTCAGCGATCTCCTTGAGGAACTCGTTGTCCTTGTCCCCGTTCTCGATCTCTTCCAGCATCGTGGCCCGATTGAAGAATGTGCGCTTCTTCCTTGGCTCCGGACAGTTCCGCGCAATGTGCCCAGGCTGCTGACAGTTGTAGCAGATGATATTGCGGCCGCGGGCGTGGGTGCAATCGATTTCCATCGGAACTGGTTCGTTGGCAGCGGGTCGGGCCGGGGCGGGTGCAGGTGTCATTGGGGCTGCCTGCGGGCGGAATTGGGGAGGCGGTCGTGGTGCGGATTGCGCATGCGATGCTTTGCGCAGCTGATTGCGTAGAGCGTTCGCCTCGATGTTGACACACCAATTCTTGAAGGCACCATATGCCTTGGGCAGGGGGACGCCAGTGTTGTAGAGGCGGCTTGCAATTTCGCTGCTGAGTCCGCGCTCCAGGAACTCGATGAGGATATTGTCCTGTTCCCCCTTCTTGTACTCGCCTTTGCTGTCGGTGGAAGTGACCACGTTGTACCCCGCGTCTGCCGCCAGCATTTCGAAGTCGGAGATGTAGTCCGCAAAGGACCGTCTGCCCTGGCGAAGGGCCATGAGTCGGGCGGCAGCGACTTGCTCTGCGTTAGAATCCCCAAAGGCCCTCTAAAGCTCCTCCAAGAAGCTTGTCGCGGTGACTCCCGCCTTTAGTCCTTGGAAGCCCTCGAAATTGTGCTGCTTCCAGTTCATCGCCCATCTTGAGGCGGCGCAGCTTGTGCCGCTCTCATTGCGGAGGTAGGACAGGACGAAGAGGATTTTCGTCTCGTCCAGCGAGAACTCTGACCGATAGGCACCGATGTAAGTGGTGCATGCGTCCACAAAGCCCAGGTACTTGGACTTGTCGCCATCGAAGTAGGGGGGATTGGCGGCAAGGGTGATGCGGTGATGTCCTGACATGGTAGGAGCAGGTGCGGTAGGTGGGGGCGAGGGTGGTTGTTTGGAGGGTAACTCGTCAAGGTCGGGGAACTCGTCTTCAGGCGGCGGAAGGGCGAGGTAGGGGTTGGAGGGCCCGGGTTGGTTTTGATGCGCCAGATCGGGCGACGATGGTATGATGGGGGGAGGGGATGGACTCCCAGATGACGATGGGAATCGGTACGAAATGGTGGATTCGTGTGCTGTACAAGCACTCGAGGAAAGGTTCTTTTGCTAGCAAAAAGATCCCGGGCCTAGCTCTTCACGTGCCCGATGATCCCGAGGTGCGTTTTCACGAAGGTCTCCGCAGCACTCCTTGTAGCTACCGTAAGGCTTGGGTCGGGCTCAACGTTACCCGTGGCCTGGTGCTGTTTGCTTGATATGAACCCTTCACTGCGATAGTGGAGGACGACTAGATGATTCGGTAAAAGGGTAAGTTGGTTGATAAGGGTTAAGAGGATATAGCGGGCGTAGCGGTGCGGGATGCAGGGTAAGAGGTATGGGGTAGGAGGGTATGAGGGGAGTCTTCGAATTATGTGACAATCAACCCAAAAATGAAGTCGAAAAGAGAAGTGAATTCGAAGACTGGAGAATACAACCAAGTAGCTACCGTATTTATACCCAAATCCAGTCTGAGTCATATCTACAACTAATGAGTCATAAGACTATGTACCGCATGGAACACTGGTCATGGGTTGTAATAGAACCTTCTGGAGCATATGTCGCGCAGCCTTGAATCGATAAGGATAATCCCTCGAACCCCTAGCCCGGGTTGTCTGATGCCGTGATAAGATAAGCCGTGCCGAGATAAGATAAGATCGTCGAAGATAAGATGAAAAAGTGGCCGAACTATGACAGAATGGCCACAGCGCCTCGAGCATGTGTCCGGTCGCACTAGGGTTCCACTGATGATCAGAATGATCACGTGCAACAACCTTGATGAGCTCGCTGACAAATCCATTGAGATCTTTCAGTGCACGTGATAGATTGATTTCAGGGCTAGGCCGCATCACTGCTTGTCAGTGGAAACTTCTGGCTATCAGTGGCTTCATCACAAAATTCCAGCTACTCAAACTATTATTCCTGTACTTGGGTAGCAAGCACTATCTATAAATGGCACATTTCCAAAATTTCAGTGTAATTGGGTGACCTGGTCACCCAAGAGGCTTGACCAAATAAAGGACAAACAAAGAAAGGTTCAAGACATCCACTGCCTTGTCAATCGGAGTTGTCTTAATACTGATTGAATCATCAGGACTCTTGAATGTGGTTTGTTTGGTGGTGGCAATTCTGGCAGGCTCTTCAAGGTGTTTCCCCAGCAGCATGTATGCTCCGGTTACTGCAAGTTTTTCAGACTGTCTAGTCTTATGTAGTAGTTAGGCTCTGTAATTCTCTTGCGCCCTACTCTACAGTGCATTGACCTCCATCTGTTTCACGTGATCACTTATCCAGTTCCTCGAGACATTAAAACTGGGCATTGTCCTTTTTCACTGACGATAATGAGTGTTCGGGGTCCAGATAGAGCTCAATCAGTGTCAATCACGACACAGATTAATGTATCCGTGATCCATCACTCGCTTATCAGCATATAGTTCCGGGCCTCCATAAAAAAGTCTGATTGTTTTACGTTTTCCTCTGCTAGGTGGTCCATCGAGTGAATATGCTAACCGGAATCTAGAGCGGATACCAATGACAGGTGGCTGCTATGCGGAACGAATTGAAACGACCGGTCATCCACTCACTGAGACGTGGGCGTTGGAAACATGAGATGTCACGGTCCCACGGCAATCGATGCCAAGATAGCATACGGAGGCAGATGAAAAGATGTAAACATTAAGCCGTCGCGGTCTCCGCAACGATCGAGGAGAACGAGGATAGAAAGCTGTGCGCTCGGTAAGCGAGAAGATTTCGGGATGGAAGGGCGGCAGTCCCCGTCTCCAGTGGGTCTGGGGTTAATCGTGTATCGTCGCACCAGGGGGATGAGTCGGAAGTACCTCCGGCGGCACACCGACACCGGCCGCGGACAAGCCAGCATCCTACGTCCTCGAGCAAGTATTTCTACACCGGCCTGCGCCTCGCTCTGCGCGGGCCGGCGCGCCGGGCGTGCACCCAGGACCGTGAGGTCGATTCCCGTGGCGGTCGATGCCGGCCACACGCCCGCAGCAGCGAGGCTGAGCGGTGAATTCCATGCGCGTGCGGGTAGACACCCGCCAGCGGTATCGATTCCTGTCTGACGGCGTTCGTCAGACCGAGGTCGTGCCCGGGACGGAAAGGACGGGAACGCCGACGGGCGCTTGGAGGTTTGGTTTCTACGAGCGTGAGCTGTCCCCGGGCCAGCGTCCGAGTCGGGCGAGTGGACCCGTAGTCCCACATGAGACCGAATCAGACCGTGAAATCGCAGGTGGAATGGGGGCCCCCCATGCAGGCTGATCTCAAACCCAGTGCATGCGGATGGATCCATGCTGGTGGAGTCAACTCTTGTTCACGGAATGAGATGTTGAGTCCGCCGCGACAAGACGCGGACAGTGCGCGTCTTGTGCATGCGAGGTAACCAGAGCGCGCCGCACTGAAGCGGGCTCTCACATGGATGAATGTGCTCAAGAAGCCGGAGTGGCTCCCTGCTGCTGCCAGACAAGTAACCTCTGGGGGCATCTCGGAGATCACACGTGGCAGCGGAAGAGACTCGACCTAGTTCCGACTGCTGGCAAACAGGAAATCCCGTGCGAGGGACTGTATGTAGCGCGCATGAATGCGAGCGCGAACTTCCACGTCGGCTTTTGGCCAGCTGAGTAGGGGAGCATAGTCCCGGTGGGCTATGGTGGAGGCCAGGTAGGGGATCACCGGTTCCGGGAGACAGTGCAGCTGAGGACACATTGAGAGGAGGGATCTTCTGTCTTGTCCATCCAAATGGCTGCGACGTCGGATTTGACTGAGTCTTGCTGTTGACGCGGGTGGCTCCAACAAGGGCAACGGTCATAGGGTAGTCGTTCGCTGGGACGATGCGGGATCATCCTACAGTTGCCACCGCTGGAAAACGGGAGATCCGGCGCAATGGACCGTATGTAGTGCACATGAAATTCGGCGCGAATATCAACGTTGGCTTTGAGCCGGCTGAGTAGACGTGGATGGTCCCGCTGCAGAGGCCAATAGGGGGGAGCACCGGTGCCGGCGACGACAGCACAGGGAGCGTTCACAACTCTCCTATACATCCAGACGGCCACGAGGTGGGTTCCGGACTTGATCTGGCGTTGACCGCAGGTGTACTCGACCAGCGCAATCCTCATAGGGCAGTCGTGTGTCGGGCCGATGACGTCCGTCCGGAAGCCAACGGATGGCACCCAGTGAGTGCTTTGCAGCAAGCTGCAGAAGGTCAAGAGTCGAAGTTATGATGGACAGAACCACGGTCCTCACTGATGTCGCCATCAGCGCTGGAACACGGAGCAAGAGTATTGGTGCTCACCAAGACTGCAGTCCTAATGTCAGGCCGCAAGGTTCAAAGCTTGCAGGGCATGTTCTCAAACCTCAGCGCTCAGGTACGCGGACTAGCACCTCGCAGGCGGCCCCACTCTCCCCGGGAACCGCAGAAGTCCACGCATCGACACATCACGCGTAACTCGTTTGCAAAGGACACGCGCAGATGGTCGGGCGGTCCGACACGTGTCGAAGAGTACGGGACGAGGTGGGCGGCATCGCGGGGTAGGTGAGCGTTGTTCCGTGGCGACAAACGCAATCTCACGCGACAGAGGTGGTCTCTTTGAGCCTCTGTCTTCGTCAGCCTGCGGCAGGAAGAGAGCGACGAGGGGGTCAGGCCACAGAATGAGATGCATCGCCGCCCACAACGTTCAAGGGACGGACATTCGGAGTGACGAGAATGAGCTATGTGCGGGGTCTCTCGCGCGAAGATCTGGTGAGATTATGGATCAACCGTTGCGCGCAAGGTGTATGGCCCCGACCCAGGAGTGAAGTGGGGGGATGTATGGGAATGGGGATCTCAGCTGGCTTCCGTTGAAGATAGAGGCCAGCGGATAACAACTATGCATTCATGCATTCACAAAACCATGATGGAGCAGAGCAAGAGACGAGGCAACAGAGGTGATGCCATCAAATGAGTCATGTCGAAGGTCTTGATCATCCATCGAGGAATTTCAGCGCTGCAAACAGTTGATCATTTTTAAATCCTAGAGTAGTCTATTCGAATAAAGTTAGACAGAGTAAAGACAGTACAACAGCAAATGCATGAAACGGCAGACGCTCAGGCAGCAAGGGACGTGATCGAGGCCGGCAGCGCGTTGTAGGTGGGACACAGCTGGTTCCACTCCGAAGTCGGGATCAGCTCAGACTCCCAGTCAGCCACGTCCTCGGCCATCACGACCGCGAAGCCAGCCTCCAAATGCCAGTCGATGTGGCAATGCAGGAACCACGCTGGTGAGAAAAAACAACGATCAGCCGTCAAGCGTTCAAAGAAGCGCCAAGTTGAGACTCACGTCCGCGGTTGTCCGTGAAGAAACGGATCGTGACATTGTCGCCAGCGACTCCGATGTTGACGACATCGCGGCGGGCCGGGTTCACGTAGTTGTAGGTCGTGCTTCCGGCAGCCCGGATGACATCAAAGGTGTGTCCGTGCAAATGGAATGGGTGCTGTGGAAAAAGCATGAGCTTATAGGCAAAGCGCGCGAAGAACTAGGAAGAACTGACGCCGCCACCAACCACACCGCCCGCGAGCGTGATTTCGACCGACGCAAAGTGCGGGAGCGAGTACACCGAGCCGTTGGGCAGCAGCGACTGCGCGGACTGGGCGCCGGACAGAATCTGGAGCAAGACAGGAACAGTGGGTGGAACGAAGGCGTCGCCGTTGATCGTGAACTTGAACGTCGTCTGGGAGATTATCAGTGATCCAGTCGGAGATAGAGCGAGTTCCTGTTGATCAGCCGCACCAGGTCAAACGCCAACGCCATGTTCAACTGCACATCAGCACCACCGCTGAACGCGCCACCGGGGGCACCAGGGTTCACCAGCGGGTGCAGGTCGACCTCGTTGATCAGGCCGTTGGTCGACGTGTCTTGCGAAGTAGTAGGCTCCGATGCGTTGGCTCCTACGTCTGGAAAGGAAAGATGAAGATCAGAATGACAGATAGATATCTTTCGTATGATTTCGACGCACAGCGGAGGATCGCAGAGTTGATGCCGCCGGTGAAGCCGGTGGGACCGGTGTTCGGGTTGGCGCGGATCCAGTAGTTGTCGATAGCCTGGTCAGCGGTCAAGATGAACGAATAGCGTTGGGCTTGAGACATGTTCAGTGACGGTTCGACGGCGCACAAAATCGGAGGAAAGCTCACCCGCATAGATCTGGATCGAGTCGACGCTCAACGGCTCGTGCAGAACGCCGTCAGCCTCAATGATGGTGAGATTGGTGTGGCCGTCGATCTGGAACACGTAGTTCGAGTCGCAAGCGGTGTTGACCAAGCGGAAGCGGTAGCGCAGGCCTTGCGTAACGTTGATCACAGCGAGGGTTGTGTTGTCGAGCGTCGCAGCGGTGCGTCCGAGACCGTTGATGAGCATCGAAGAGGGCGTGCTGCGCAGTTGAACTATCAGAATCTGATTCGGTCCTATGCAACAGACATGGCTCACCCAACGCCGGTCACAGTCTCTGCGAAAACGTTGTACCAGTCGGACAGAGTGATCACTGTCGACTCGTCGTCGACGTCGTACTGGGAGAGATACGCGTCTGCGGGATCGTAGATGACCATTGCGCCACGCAGACCGTCGCAGTACTGAGTGGCGAGGTGAGAGTGATACCAGTACGTTCTGTGCAATTCCTGTTCAGAGCGGCCTGAGCCAGCGATAAGAAAAGCCAAATACCCAGATTGTATGGCTGTGAAGTCGTATGTGAACGAATTCCCAGGCGAGATCGGACACTGGTTGATGAACGCAGGACCGTCCATGTAGTTTGTCCCGTTCTGGAACAGTCCATGCCAGTGCTGCGAAGGGGGAGAGGACAGTTAGCTATATGCGAAATTTGGAATCTGGCCCTGTCTCACGATGGATGTTGGCTCGAGCATGCGGTTGTCCTCTTGCTGGTCGACGACCGTGAGCTGGAAGTTGTCGCCAATGTTGCCGGTCACGAGAGTGCCAGGAAAGGTGCCCCCGGCCAGCACAGCGGCTCGGGGGATACCATCGGGAGAGATCGTCTTGTTAGCCACTACGAGGGAGCCGACGGGCCCAACCGTCGCGGCGGAGACGATCCGCGCCGCTGAAGCGAGAAAAATGAGCGTCCGGAAGGAAAGAAGCATCTGAGAACGAAAGAGATCTCCAAGTTGTGTCTTTCAAGTGAGTTCAAAGGCAGCATTTATAGAGCTTTCGTCCAGAGAGACAACCATCTAGACGATCCCTCAATCGGGCGCAAGACGCATATCTTGTCAGTTAGAATTCGGCTGGATTTGAACCCCGGAACTAGCTGGCTGCTTGTGATTTTGATGACGGCGAGCACCGCTGTGCAGGAGAAAGAACTTCAGAGGCACCAAAGACCGATTTCTCCACTGCAAAGCCGTTTTGTGAGGCAATTTCAACGCTCTGAGACATCTTCAAAAAAGAGCACCGCACGAAATATTAGAATTCTACGCCGACTTGGCAGCCATTTCTTGCTTCTTTCTTCCTTTGCAAGTGAGAAATTGGAATTCGAGACAGACTGAATGTCCAGACCCCGATCGGGCGACGCGGAAGCTTGACCGGTGTCCCTGGCATTCCCAAATTGACTCAATCAGACTGCGGAAAGGATTTAACGCAATGAGACTGCGGAAGAAGTGCACAACCTGATAGCCGAATACCTGAACAAATTGCCTCAGTCTCTGCACTTGCTTTCTTCTGCAGGTCAGGGGGCTGAAAATTTCGTCGCAGAAACCCAACCGTGTCCTCTGGTGGCCCCTCCCCCCATCACACTGTGCCTGTTCCTCGGAACGAGCCATTCTGAACAAGTGTGCTTTACTGCGATCAGCCAAAGAAGATTCAACAAACTGACAAACATCGCGCATTAATCCCTCCGATTCTTGTTGCCTTGTAGCGTCAGCCCTTCGGAACGGAAAGTGACGACGGAAACCGTCGAAGATTTACGAGGTGCACGTGTTTCGGATCAGCTTCCGTGGTAGATCCATATGATGAGGTGATTCACCGCCTCCAAATTGATGGCTGGTGAGAACACGATGGTCGGCCTGATCGAATCCGGCCGTTATCATTTGTCCATCCCCATTGATGATCTGTGGCCATTAGATACCGAATCAGCGCACTGAGAATTCTTGTCGCCCAATGGAACCGCCGTTTACTTGGTCGCCTCTGTCTCTCCGTGCTCTCAGCTCCGGTGTCAAAAATGGCTGTCTGAACATGACCGGCCCACCACTTTGGTCGATCTCTTGCCAAGTAGAGAACGGAATCAGCCCGGATTTGTGTGAAGAATGTGCGCAAGAGGTCCCATATGTCTCGATTCTCAAAGGCATTCATTCTCAGCCGGGCTGGAATCATTTGAAAGGGTTGAGAAACATTTGTACAACCCATTTGAACCAATGGAAATTGTTTTTCCATGGGACTTCAGAAAACATCCTCATGCCTCAACACTGTTTTCAGAGGGAATACTGTAGGTAAACAGTTCTTTTGGCTATATTCTGGTTTGAAGCCTCTGGATGAGGGGGCCAGAGGGGAAGTGTTTGCAACAGCACTCAAGAGCGAAATAAGCACAATTGACTCATTGTTATTTTCTAAAATCGCTGTGAGGAGATGCTATGCTTCTTGAGCACATGACTGTTTGTGCAACCTGCTTGTTGAGCACTTTACAGAGCATTGATAGGGAGTCTATACAAGATTAGTAACTAGGCATCCCCATCATGCCTATTTGATTGCAATGCCTATTTCCACAAAACTTGTTGTTTTTGAACACTTGGCTGGCAAATACAGTGTAAGACCCATCAATGGATTGATTGATTGATCCTCTGGCATTCCACTTCACCACAAGCCGAAATCAGTATAACAAAGTGTACCTGTACCAACCAGATACCTTTAAGAATCTGCCTACCAAGTGTAAGTAAATTAGTTGAGAGTACCCATTATAGTGCACAATATTGTCAAGCAAGTCCATCAGTCACGATTCCTGGTCACTGGATGTCACGCATCACCACTATGATTCATCTTGACAACCGTCATCCTCGTCGTCGTTGTCATCATCTGTGTCCTCCTGGAGCCGTGGTTTCTTAGTGCACTTGGGCTTGGCTGGTAAGCCCTTCTTCCGGGCACCTTTCCCAACCATTTCCGCACATTCCTTTTCCCATTTGGCCACCTTAACGGCATGGTCCTCTTTGATCTTGACCCCCTGCTCCTCCAGAGCAGCTTTTGCAGCCTTCTTATCATCTCTCAAAGCCTTTTTTTCTCAATTTCTCTGCATTCTTCTCCTATTTCTCCATCTCTATGCTCCGCACTTGATCAAAGAACTCATCAGAGGACAGGCATTGGGCTTGACCCTCGAAGAGTCGAGCACGATCGTTTGTTGCTTGCTCTTCCTGGAGGTGCAGAGCCTCATTTGTTTTCTTCAGGGCGATGTTTTGGAAAACCATGGTTGCATTTGCCTCTTGGAGCATTTGTGACTGCACCTGCAACTGCACTTGGGCCCGTTTAAGGTGTGCCTGCAGTTCAGTCAACTTGGATTCAAGCTGATGCTGTGATTTCCAGCTGTCTGTGCTTGAACCTTGGAGCGCCAGTGACCAATCTGGCTGCAGCAGCGCAGAGGGCATAGTCTGGATGACGGGAGGATGGATGGGATTTGTCCGGGAAGTGATTTTGGGCATGCTGAGAAGCAGGGACCCTGTGGATGTGGTCACGAGATGAGCGTAAAGCAATCGAATCTTCTTCGACGGGGTCCAAATGTCTGCGCTTTCATTCTCGCTGTGGTCATCCTTGGTACAAAGACAACGGGAGCATGGTGTGGGTGTTGCAAGTAAGTCTGGGTCTTGCTCGGCACGTGTTGGCTTATGCAGTGCCATAGCTTGTGTTATTCGGCGGACCGGGCTTGGCTGGGGCATTGGGAACTCCCCGCACGTGGAGGTGGATTGGCTCAGAGTGATCTGTTTGGGACCAACAAAGTTTGGGTTGAACAGTATGACCCCAGTGACTCTGAATGCTGCCTTTACAGTCTTCTCATCGAAGGCCTCTTTGTATGCAGGAGCCCACACTGTCAAGAAATCAGCCTTGGCCACATTGCGTTTGTGCTTCGCTTCGAACGCTACAATCCCTCTCTTCCAGCACTCCTTCATCTTCAAGAAACACACAACATCCAAGCCTTGGAGTGTGTGGGTGCAGTGAGGAGGATAGCCAAGGAGGATCATATTGTTGTTGCGCACAAACTGGAGGAACATCTCACTGTAATGCGAGCTGTGGCCGTTGAGAAGAAGTACCCAAGGCCTTCTGTTGGCCTCTTCTTTTGTTGCAGGGTCGAATACTTTGGACAGCCATTTGTAGCCAAGGTCGCAGTCAGTCCAGCTAGTGAGGGAGCGACAGATACTTGTTGCAGGTGTGTGCGTCAGAGCTACTCAGCGGTGTCTTGTCAAACTCACAATGCATTGATAGAATTGCCGTTGTTCCATGTCAATTGGAACTTCACTCCCAAGAAGATAATCATTGGCAGCACAACCATCTTGCCGTCTCCAAGAATTGTCACAAGCACAGTGATATTTTGCTGGCTTGCCCCTCCTTGCTTGTGCTGTGTCTTGGTACCACGTTTGCCCACCACTCTCTCCTTCCCTGTGTATCCAGTTGGAAATCCACTCTCATCCATCCTGTAGATGCAGTCTGGCTCAACACCCATATTGACAACATATTTCTTCACCAACTCGACCCATGACTTGACTGCAGCAGGATCCAAGCTTTTTGCACGTTGCAAGTCAAGAGGCTTGCTCCAATGGGTCTGTAGATTCTCCTGGTGTCAATCCAAGAACTTAAAAACCCACTTCTTCCCCACCAGCTGGCAACCCAAGCCAAGAACAGCTTCCCGAGCTGCATTTGCATACTCCTCAATCTGCCGATGGGAAAGTGGCATCCCCATGCTTGCTGACTCCTTGATAAATCCCACCAGCGACCATTCTTGTGCTGGTGTCAAGCTCTGCTTGTTGGCACTTGCCTCCTTCCTACTTTTTCCTCCCTGTATGCGTCGGTGTAGTCTACCATAGGATATGCCATGTTCATCAGCCAGAGTTTGAATGGATTTGGGTTTCCCTATTGTCTGAGGCCTGGCTTGCTGGGTACAATACTCTGCAAGGGCACGCGTGATCTTTTCTTCTTGTTTCCGTGCACACAAATGGCCTTTGACATGTTCAGACTTGGCGCGGTTGACCATGAGACGTGGGAGAGTCTCAATGGGGATTAGGTTGCCAGATGGAGAAGATCCACGCAGAGGGAAGGCAGTGGGAGCTAATCAACAAACGCGCTGTCACGCTCATTCACATGTGAGCCTTGTGCAGCCTCTAGCTCACGCTATGCTGGTCCGCTTTCTTAGTACTCGTAGTCGGCAAAAGTGTTGGACAGTCAAATTATGAGTGCGTAACAACAGCAATTTGAAATACATTTCTCGTGTCTAAAACCTTGTATGACCTCCGTTAGCCTCTAAAACAGCCTGTACACGTGACCGCATGCCACGTGTGTACTTATTGATGTCATCAATCGGCATCTTTTCCCACTCCTCCAATATGACAGCTTTGAGTGCTTCGAACGACGACGGCGGCGGCCGATGAGCCCGAACTCGTTTCTTCAGCTCATGCCATACTGGTTCAATAGGACTGACGTCCGGAGAGCAAGCAGGATGTGGGAAAAGAGGGATTTTGTGGGACTCGAGCCACCCTTTTGTTGACTTGGCTGTGTGACAAGAAGCACCGTCCTGCTGAAACTCGATCTTGCCGCGCCCACCGCGTTGTGCTTTGACCTCCTCAAGAGCACCCTCAACAACCTTCTTCAGAACTTGCTTCTGATATTGGTCTGCCGTCATTCCTCCACCGCGACCGCCGGGATATTCCAGCACAATCAATGGTCCCTTCCAATCATGCGTGATGCAACCCCAGACCATGACCCGAATCGGTGACTGTTTGAACCGGGGAACCAGACAGTCCTGTTCATAGACCTCGTCACTAGTCCGTGTAACCCAAACTCGCTTGCCGCCGCTGTCCAAATGAATGTAACATTCATCAGACCAGATGACATGCCCCCACTGTCGTTCGGTCTTCTTTGCCAATCGCTCGGCCCATGCCAACCTCGCCATCTTGTGGTTGTCTGAGAGATACGGAACCACTCTGGCAACCCTTCGATGCATTCCCTCCTTGTCGAGAACTCGTCCAACGCTTCGGGCGCTGACAGGCGGATCAATTTGGTTGCCGATGTCCTCGAATGGCATGCGACGATTGGCACGTGCCGTCTTCAAGATTTTCCGCTCCAAGGCCTTGGAGATCTTCTTGGGACGTCCAGAGGAAGGTATATTTTCAACCGAGCCCTTGTCCGAAAACTTCTTCCATATCTTTCGAGCCATTTCATAACGGATACCAAGTGTTGTCGCATGCAATTTGATGTTCGGGTCAGCAATCATGGCACCAACAAATTGATTCTTGAGCTCCTCGGAGAGACGGGCATTGGGCATGGAAGCAAGTGTGTAGCAAGATGGTAGTATGTGTAAAGATGTGTATGTTCGAGTTTGAAGTCACGTCGGTCCGTTTGTGGAGCGTGTCAAATCAAATGACGCAGCGTCCAACACTTTTGCCGACTACGAGTATAATAGGAAGAAATAGTAGCTAGTATGGCCTTCTATTGCTCTCAAAAAAATTTGCTCCCAAAAGCTCACTTATGTGGTCGCAATTGCAGAAGGGGAATCTTGATCAGGTCGTCATGTGCCTCAAACAGAAGCAAGTGGGCTTATTGTCCACGACCTGCTTTCTAGAGTTCTGTGGAACTTGTTTGAGACAAGGAGGAAGTATATTAGATCATATTTATAAAGTATGGTAGGCTACCGTGGTCTGTGGAACACTACAGAACAAATTCATCTATTGATGGCTCCAAATCCATTGATGGCTCTTACACTGTAGTCCTTTTTCTCACTCTAAGCTGATACAGAACTTAACCTACTCATTCAGAGCTAATTCCTAGTACTTCAACTGGCCTCTGGCAGGGCTGTGCCGTGTGTTTTAGGATTTGGGGAGGGAGATGTCAATATTCCTAACCCTAACCAACCCTCACCAAACTTAACTGGACCCTAACTGAACCCTAACCAGGCTGGAAGGGCCAAAACGGTGAAATGCTGAGGGCGCGCTCACAGGTGAATCTACTATCAAAGTAAACCCAAATATAAACACGTTCACACTCCTCATAATCAGCTTCTCAGTGTGTGAAAGATGCGAGGGCTTCGGGGTGAACAGAACACCAGTATCACAACTCTCAATAGACGCAGATCCAATGGTCACAGAAGACAAAGTCGACAACAAGAATTTATATATAGCAAACAGTGGTGTCTCAACCAATATCTTCTATACAAACAAAACCAACACTAATCCAACCACAACCAACAATATCACAAGTCAGAGCTTAATACAAAGTATTAAGATCCCTTGTAGCGACAGCGTCCAGATGGCGATGCAAAGCCCAAATATCAAGCCAACGCACTGCCAACCAATACAACCAATATACTGAGCCAACGCACTGCCAACTAGTAGAACCAAAGTACTGAGTCGACGCACTGCCAACTAGTAAACCAAAATGCCGCGTTGACGCACTGCCAACTAACAGCCAATATCCAATGTCCAAAACCCGAGCACAACTTGTCGACGCACTGCCAAGCAAGAAGTGTGGAAACGATCTCAATAAAGCCCAAAGGCGACTACACTAAATGCCACGACTGAACCAGATGCGGTGAATCCGACTTTCTGATGTCTCAACTCAAAACTCAAATCACAGTAGCTACCAGTGCTCAGAGAGCAACTCGTAGCGACCGGGCAGGGGTAGCAGAACTTCTTAGGGTGGAATCACACGGCACGCAAATTGTACAAAACAATCTGATATGAGAGTGATTCACAGTCCGGGGGAAAGCTTCCTAATACAAAAAAACAACGTGCTACTTATACTGTCTGCGACAATGCTTAGTAAAGTCCTGTACAACTGCATAGTAGCTACGCTATCTAAGATTGGTTGCCTTTTAGGGTAATGAAAAGTTGAACAATCGGACAGGTCCTGAGTGATCAGGACCCCGCCCCATAGTCCATATGGTACTTTTGATGTGGGTCAACCCACCGTATCATACTTTTGGAATACGACGTGCTGGATTGGCCAACTGGTATGTCTTGGCGGGTGAGTCCAACGTGGGTGCCCCAAGAAGCCATATGGCCCTAGGCACACCAGCCTTGCCTCACATGGTTCGGTTCACGGATCTAGCCTGTGTCGATTTTAGTGTGTTTGGGTATGGGCGCGACTCGCCGTGACACTTGGAAATGTCACCGCAACGCGTCCACAATGTCCCATGATCAAATGGATCCTGACATGTGACAAGTCGTCGCCGTGGCATGATCTGAGGGAACGTCTAACCCAAAGCCGGGAGTTGCCGCTACAAGATTGGTTCAATCTCGTAATGCCAAGTCCTGTCCAGTAGTAGTTGTAATATTGAGAACGTCGCACATTGCTCAGCCCTTCAGCCCAAGTTCCCATCCACAGAGAATGACCCTTTTGAGAAGTTGCCGCAACAAAGATCCCTTTTGGGGAATTGTCGCGGTCCAAGTGTTTGTCACTAATAGCCCTGAGCCTGGTATAGACTCATAAGACCAGTTCCACAGTAGTGGTCTGACTGCCTTGCTATCGTTGACACCATCCACAATTGTCGACTGGGCAGTAGACCCTTAAGCCCTACTGAGCGCAACACTGTCAACCGCGACACGATACACCAAATGGTTCGAGAGTAAAGTCTGTAAAAAGTGCAAAAATACACCTTTACAGAGCTGGTGCAGAGCGCATCTGGTAGCCAGCCTATCAACGGTCAGCCAGAAGATGCGAGAAAATCTGCGTGTAGTTTGATCTGTGCTTTGATGCCTATTTGATTTCCATCAAACACGCCCAAATCGTGACAGTTCTAGGCATCCTGACATGCCTAGTTACAAATTTTGTCGTGCCTCATTGATAGGCTGGTTACTATACCTGCTCTGCACCACCTGTAGAGGACCCTCATTTTTCACCTCTTATGAAATGAAACATCCTCTGCACTCAGTGCCTTGGGATGAGTCCATCATTTGCTGTGTTCAGTAGTCATAATGGTTCCAATACTTTGCAGCCAAAGACAGTGCCAGTGTAATTGAGCAGCGTCCAGGGGGCATGGATAATCCATATGAGGTGTGGAATATAGTGGTGAAGGGCAAAACATTCTGGCCAAATTGTATTCCTTATGATGTCATAATTCAATCGCTTTTTGATCATTCCATCAATCATCTTATCTTATCTTGACACAGGTCATCTTATCATGGATCATAGCATGATATGGTCTGGGTTAGGGGCTCAAGAGGGTTATCTCCATTGATTCAAGGCTGCACAACATATGCTCCAGAAGGTTCCACTCCAACCCATGACCAGCGCTCCATGCGGTACATAGTCTTATGACCCATTAGTTGTAGATATGACTCAGACTGAATTTGAGTATAAATACTGTAGCTACTTGGTTGTATTCTCCAGTCTTTGAATTCATTCATCTTTCCGACATTATTTCTTGTTAATTGTCACATAATTCCAAGACTCCTCTCATACCCTCCTACCTCATACCTCTTACCACTGCATCCCTCACCGCTATGCCCGCTATATCCTCTTAACCCTTATCTATTGAGTTGAAGGTTCGTCCCATTCTCCTTCCTAATACATATGTTATATACTGAGTCCTTGGTCAACTGGCACGGACGAGGTGCAATGGGAGATGAGCTCCAACTCATCTCCATGGCCACCCCTCCATGCCCCCAAGAGCCTAGCTTGGTGTTTGCCCTAGATGCGACCATTCCCTTGCAACACTCCCCCTCAAACCCAAGCCATTCCAAGCCGCCACACTTGTTCCAGATGCTGTTGGGTTGGGAGGGGTTTTGTAAAAACATCTGCCAGATTATCCCCTGATGGGCAGTGAGTTATTGATATCTCGTTGTTTTCTGCTCGCTCGCGAATGGAATAATGACAGATATTGATGTGCTTGGATCGAGCGTGGTATCCAGTATTGAACGTAAAATCAATGGTGCCGCAGTTGTTGACTAGGATGGGTAGTGGTAAGGACTGTGAGATTCCCAGCTCGGTGAACAGAGAGCTGATCCATATGCTCTCTCGAGCCACATGTGACAAGGCCACGTATTCCGCTTCCATTGTGGAAAGTGCAACTGTTGGTTGCTTTTTCAATGACCATGTTGTGATGCCTCCAGCAAGCGTAGTAGCATAGCCCAAGATTGATCTACGGTCATCTGGCTCATTCCCCCAGTCCGCGTCGGTGTATAGTTGGGGGTGTGAGAAATCAGTATGCGTAGTGATTTGTTGCCCATGGGTCGAGGAGTATGTGATGCCAAGATTGGGTGTGCCCCGAAGATACCGATATACGCGCTTGACAGCGGTGAGATGAGTTGGGCCAGGATTCTGGCTGAATTTCAATAAAGTCTGGACCAAGAAGGCAATGTCGGGCTGAGTTGTAATTGCTGCGTACATCAATCCGCCCACCATCGACTGGTAGACGCGTTTGATTTCAGGGTATTCTTCTCCGCTTGGCAACTTCTCGAGCCGAGTGTTTGGGTCCATGGGTGTTGGGGCTGGATTCGAATTTTCCATCCCTTGTTGTGTCAGTATCTTCTGGATGTAATTACATTGGCTAATAGTGATTGTCCTCTTGGTTCAGTCTCTGTGGATCTCCATACCAAGGAGCTGTTTTGCTTCACCAAGCTTTTTGATGTCAAATGATTTCCCCAACTGATCTTCTGTTTTGGTGATCAGCAATTGGCTAGTAGCTTATATGGACATGTCATCCACGTGAACCGCAACAATTGTGATAGCGTCCTGTTCGCGTCGGATGTAGACACACCAATCCGAAAGAAGCCGGTGGAAGCCCATGTCCTTGAATTTCGCATCAAGGGTTTTGTTCCAGGCCCCTCCGGCCTGTTTCAGGCCATAGAGCGTCTTCCACAATTGCAAAACTCTCCTTGTTCCGTTGTTGAATCCATCCGGCTGCTTCATGTAAATTTCCTCCCTCAATTCTCCATTCAGAAATGCGCCCTTCACATCCACCATCGCCATCTCGAGGTTGTACTTTGCTGCCAGGGCAAACAGTAACTGATTCGTTTCTACGCATACCACCGGGGAGGAGATCTGGTCAGGGTTATAGTCCGTTCCCAGGATTTTGGTGTTGCCCATGACGACCAGTCTTGCTTTTCGACCCGCCACTTTTCCTTCCTCATTTCTCTTCGTCTCATACACTCATTTGCACCCAAGCGCCCTCCTTCCTTTGGGTAAGTCCACCAGTTCCACTGTACCCGTCTCCCATAACTGTGTATGCTCCTTTTCCATTGCCTGCTCCCATTCTTTTGCATACAGACTGTCTCTTGCTTGTCTCGGTGTCATCAGGTCTGCCACTGCAATATTCACCATGTCCCCGCTTGCTACTTGGTGTCTCCAAGCATCCGGCCTGTTTGGGGACTGATTCGCCGGATTCCGCAACTCCCTGAATATTGATTGGTTGATTCCGTCTCTTGCTGCTTGGTGCCTTGTCCTGGGTCCCTCTATGATGTTCCTTTCATTGATTTGACTCAAAATATCGCGCCTCACCACTGGGGGTTCATATGAGTCGAGTTGTGGGGAGTCGGGTGGTGTAGTAAGGGGGGATCCAGGTGGTGTGAGTGTCAATGCCGGGGGCACTTTTTCCTGCGCGTCCTGTTTTCTGTTTTTCTCTTGTCTGTTTTTCTTCTCTGTTGGTTTGTGCTTGCCTTCTCCCTCTATCTTGGCTGAGACTTGATCTTCCTCTCCCCCTTCATCTGCCATCCTGGTCCCTTCCTCCCCCTTGAGCTGAACTGTGCTTTTTCGGGGTGCATATTCTGGTGCGTACTCCCCATCTTCTGTCTTGAATATGATGTTCCTTGACTTCAGGACTCTGCGTGTTCCTTCCACCTGATATTGCCATGCTCAGGAGTCGTCTGAGATGCCCACAAACTGCTGAGCCTTTGATTTTGGAGTTATCTTCCCTTTGCTGACGCCTTGCACCAGTACCCAGCACCTTGTTCCGAATTCTTGTAGCATTGATACATCTGGTTTTTCCCCCCAGAAGGCCTCGTACAGTGTCTGGCTCGATTGTAGGGCAGCTGTTGGTGAGCGGTTCAGCATGTATACCGCATATCCAAGTGCTTCAGGCCACAGGAAATGTGGCACATTGTGTGCTGCTATCATGGCCCGGCCCCTTTCAAGCACCGTCCAATTTAGCCTCTCGGCTACACCGTTCTGCTGTGACAAATGAGGTGCGGTTTCTTCTATTTGCATACCTCTCTGATGTAGTTCTCTCCATAGTGTTCCCACCAAGTATTCACCTCCATTGTCGAATCGGATTGCTTTGCACTTCCTTCCTGTCTGGGTGAGCACAAATTCCAGATAGTTTGTCACCTCCGCTTCCACTTCTGACTTTCTCCTTAGAATTGATGCCTTCCTATATCTTGATGCAGCATCTGTGAATGTGATCATGAAGTGTTCGCCATGCACGCCAGGTGTTCAGCTGGGTCCCCATACATCTGTGTATATCATGTCTCCTACGTATTTGAATATCTGCTGTGCCAATTTAGGAAATGATTCCATGTGCTGCTTCCCTTGGATGCGTGCTGTACACTGCCCTATCTCCATGTCTGTGGTAAGCTCCATTCCATTTACCATCCCCTTTCTTACCAGTTCCTTTATTGCTTCTGGGCGTAGATGGCCAAAGATTCAATGCCATTCCATCACGCTTCGCTTTGTTGTGGCCGCAAGTACATGGTCTGCTGAACCAGAGTTTGCAATGGAAGCTGCCATTGGGGTGACATCTTCAAGTGCGTAAACATTGTCTCTCTTACTGCATTGCATAATTTTGACTCCCTGTTTCAAATAGATGTCAGCGACCTGGCTGTTTGCGGGAAAGTCAACTCTGTGCCCTGCTCAGTGGAGTCTTCCTAGTGATACGAGGTTGTAGGGAGATGAGGGGAGGTAGAGTACATGCTCAAGTGTCACATTTGTAGTCCTCCCCCCGACTTTGAATGCCAGTCATGTAGTGCACTGGCCTTGTGCTGACTTGGAGCCAATTCCTATAATTTTATGATTTTTTAGTGAGACATACAACAAGAACAGAGATTTATTGTTTGAAATGTGTACACTTGCCGCACTATCTAGCAGCCACGAGCTTGAATTTAGTGGCTGCTTCTCGTTTGTTACAAACACTATGTCTTTGTCGGCTGGGTCGGTGGCCATATTGGCATTTGATGGTCTAGTTGTGTAGTCGTTCCTATTCTGGATATATCACTGTGCATTAGCTCTCCGCTGTTGGTCTGTGTAAATTCTACCATTCTGCTGATCACGGCATTCAGCAATCCAGTGTCCAGGACGTCCAAAGTGGAAACACCCTTCTCCGGTCCCTGTCGATGGCCGTGATATGCCAAATGCAGGAAGCGCTGTCTCTTCAAGCAAATTTGGTTTAGCCTGCGGTCGCCCTGCTTGTTGTATGATCCAAGCAACAATCTCCTTGGATTCTTTGATAGTGGTTAGGTCAATGCCGTTGACCCAATTGTCGCATGATTCCGGTAAGGATGTGAGTATTATGGTTGCAAATTTGGCTTCATCAATTGTTTGACCAAAGTTCTGGAGCGCCGTTCGCATTTGGGTGAGTTTCCGAATATGCTCTTCGATGTTTTCCCTTTCTTCACACAATGTCCGGAATAAATGACGTCGGAGACAAATGATTGAAATTGCCCCTTTTGGTTGGTATACAGGTTGCAGTCGGGTCCATGCGTCTACAGCCATTGTACAGGCCTGGATGTATGCCATTGGGCCCTCCCCAACCCTTAGCCTGATCGATGAAAGGGCTTTCCTCTGCTTTTGTAAGGGCAACTCCTGCCAGCCCAAAGGAAGAGAGCACACAGCACACAACAACCTCACATGAGTCTGAGCACAGAGGGGGATCCTTAGAGAACGGTTCAAGGATCCATGTGCCCAGGTGTCACACTATATAGTCAGCTGTGACAAGTGACTGATGATGATGGGATATCACTGCCATGGAACAATGGCAGATGACAAGTAGATAATGACAAACCCAGATAAGATAGTGAGTGGCTCAGAGGGGCCAGTGATGGCCAGCTCCTGAGACACCAACAGTGGAAGGCCACACTGGAGGAGCCCAGTGGCTAGGCCAGTGCCGGGCTGGCCAGTGGAGACATCGGAGGCGAGGACCAATGCCCGACTAGGAAGAGGGGTGGTGCGGATAAGCGCAAAGGCATCTGGTATGAGCCTGTACAGCAGTAGACCACATCTGCAGGAAGAAGGCCGAAGTAGAGGGGGAGGAGTGCATACGGCAGTAGCACTCCCTGGTGCAAGGAATCAGGCTTGGCTAGACCGCTTGCGGGGATTCAAGGGAGATGGCTGGGGGAAGGAGGAAGAGGGCAGACATTAGCATGGATGGAGATAGGGATTGGAGGAGGCAAAGGAGACTGGGTGATCAACAGGTGAGCAGGCACGGGTCGGCAGAGAGGGCACACTGGGTCACGTGCATGTTCACGTGCCCAAGGAGCACGGAGTCCCCTGACAAAGACTGAAAATGGGAGCATTGCTCCAGAGGCTCAATCCTTGGAAAAGTAGGAAGCACCTAAGGAATCTGTCAAAATCAAGGTTCCAGAAGCACCCAAACGCACAAGGGTGCCAGATGCTGTGCAGAAGAAATCAGCGGCCGAGAAGCAGAAGGGCCCCCAGCCCAGCAGATTGGTGCAAGAACTGCGCAGTAACCAGGCAGAGAGAAAGAAGCACTCGATGGACGTATATGTCCAGATTACTGGCCTGGATTCAGGGAAAACGCGAAGGGTCAAGGCTTATATAGCCTAAAGAACTGTTTACCTACAGTATTCCCTCTGAAAACAGTGTTGAGGCATGAGGATGTTTTCTGAAGTCCCATGGAAAAACAATTTCCATTGGTTCAAATGGGTTGTACAAATGTTTCTCAACCCTTTCAAATGATTCCAGCCCGGCTGAGAATGAATGCCTTTGAGAATCGAGACATATGGGACCTCTTGCGCACATTCTTCACACAAATCCGGGCTGATTCCGTTCTCTACTTGGCAAGAGATCGACCAAAGTGGTGGGCCGGTCATGTTCAGACAGCCATTTTTGACACCGGAGCTGAGAGCACGGAGAGACAGAGGCGACCAAGTAAACGGCGGTTCCATTGGGCGACAAGAATTCTCAGTGCGCTGATTCGGTATCTAATGGCCACAGATCATCAATGGGGATGGACAAATGATAACGGCCGGATTCGATCAGGCCGACCATCGTGTTCTCACCAGCCATCAATTTGGAGGCGGTGAATCACCTCATCATATGGATCTACCACGGAAGCTGATCCGAAACACGTGCACCTCGTAAATCTTCGACGGTTTCCGTCGTCACTTTCCGTTCCGAAGGGCTGACGCTACAAGGCAACAAGAATCGGAGGGATTAATGCGCGATGTTTGTCAGTTTGTTGAATCTTCTTTGGCTGATCGCAGTAAAGCACACTTGTTCAGAATGGCTCGTTCCGAGGAACAGGCACAGTGTGATGGGGGGAGGGGCCACCAGAGGACACGGTTGGGTTTCTGCAACGAAATTTTCAGCCCCCTGACCACCTCAGTTACCACCGCCATCACGCGGTTCTCCCCCCGCGGGGTACCTACTGGGTACCCTCAGACGTCTTGCAGAGGGTACCCAGTAGGTACCCCCTGGCGGGGGGTGGGGGGGCCATTTAGTCGATTTAGTAGCGGGGGCATATGCGGGGGTCAGGAGGAGGGGGGGTGTATGTAGCATGTGACTTGTCCATAAGAGCGGGTAGCTGGGCGGGAAAAAAAAATCCAATCACATGACGCGCTGCATGGGCGGGATGGCGGGATAAAAAAATCACGTGATGCGCTGCACCAAATATTACCAAAATGCTGGCAGGGGTTGGCGGCGTCATTGGCGGGGTCACTACCACCCCCCCGCACACCATGGCGGGCAGTGGGCGCATTATCACGTGACTTTTTGGGCGCCTTTTTTGCAGCATTTGGCATGATTTTGGAAATGCTGCTTGATACATTGCATGCTGTGGCAGACAATGGGCGCAAAATCACGTGATTTTCCGCCAAAAAAATGGAAGACTCCCCAAATCATCCCAGTATAATTTCCATAGGTAAATAGGCTAGTTAAACATGAACTTGAGCTTAGAAAAACCAAAATGCACCCTGCACAATGGGATTGGTGACACACTTGATCCCATCATTTGGCAGGGCCTGCCGCAGGGGGTGCCGCGGGGGGTGATGCGGGGGCTGCCCCAGGGTTGGTCTGTTATGATCCATTTTTGTTCATTGAAGATCTTGTAGAGGTGAGCAGGGCAACAGGCCAACTGGGAATTTATAGGAAGACATTGAAATTGATGCAGGGGTCAGATGCGGGGCCCACTGCAAGGTCTACTGCAGGGGCAGGGGTGCATTATATCAAATTTCGATGTATCTATTCTGGCCATGGCCATAGAATGTCACATAATTATCCTTCAATTTGGCAGGGGTTTCTTGGTATGGTCTGCAGCTAAAGATATTTGATTCCCTTGTGCTTTAGCAGAGCCTGGGATATTGAAAACATGCAATAGCACCTGTATAATCTGTTTATGTAGGGTCAAATACAAGTTATGATTTGTTCATGTGTTGACCGGCAGGGTGGGTAGGTTGGCTGCACTGGGTCCACTGTCATCTCATTGATTTTTTGGTGCGCTCATTCTACATACATGGCTATTAGTCAATTGTTCACACTGTTAGCACAGTGTAATCTTACCCTGCGGCACATTGTACCACATGTCAAGTACACATTGAATGTCTCACTTCCTGACTGGGACTCATTGAAAATCAGAAGTTCTGTGATGCTTTGCAAATGATTTTCTCAAGCTGCAACATGAACAGATGGAACATAGCGGATTTGACATGCCCTCAATTCATTCCTGGGTCGTATATAAGAGGATGAACTAACTCACTAATAAGTTGTCTCACAATAGCCAGAGATTGAGCATGAATTCAGATTTCATATACAAAATTCTTTCCACTTAGAGCTTGGATACTTGCAAGACAAACTGCAGAAACATACATGATTGCTTTTGCTACTGGGACTGTATACGTTCTTGCCATAACTCACTGCCTGCAACTCTACCTGCACCCCCACTGGCACCCCTGCAGGCACCCCCCGCCAAACTGGCACCCCCCACTGCACCCCCGCATGCACCCCCGCCAGGCTGACACCCCCTGCCACACCCCCCGCTGCACCGGTGCCTTGCCCCTGCCATCTTCTCATATGTAAGATTACATAATCTGACAGCTCGGAACACGTCAAGTCACCAGCCAATCAGAACCTGTATAAACGTCGTACCTAAGTGTTTCCTGCTCTTCTGACACTGTTTCTACAGTTATGCAGCTGAAAACCATCGGAATAAGGTCTCCCTATGCTGTTCTTGTTGAATATGTAGGTATTTCATATCATTTGTCCATCCAAAATTCGAAACATGAAAACAGTTCACAGTTGCTCAAGGTTCCTACATAGATAATGGTTCAACATAGTTCACTTTGGGTATTGCAAAAAATATATTTTCTACAAATGAACAACTCAATACAGCTGAATGATATACCCCTTGGCAGTGTCTGAAACAAATTCTGAGAGCCCTGGACCCTGGAACCATTCAAAAACTTGAAATGGGTCCGAAAAATAGGGTCTTGATAAACATGAGATAGGGGCCAGTTTGAAGAGATGTAAGCCACTGGTCATGTTTAATGTGGTATTTGACAATGTTTCGGTGCCCTGCCCCTCACCAAATGGCCTCCTTTCCCACCAAAAAGTGCACATACACACTCAAGCTTATAAAATCAATTGTCGGCCAGAAACAAGAGCAGGCAAGTTGTGTCACTGGAATTGGGTAAAGGTAACCTGGAAGTCACTCGGGTTGCAGTACAGAAGCTTTGGAAAGTGATCCTGTAGTTGATCCACATTGGGTAGGCTGGCAGAGGCTTGGGCACCCCCCGCGGCACCCCCCGCAGCAGCCCCCGCGGCAGCCCCCACCATCAACCCTGCCCCAGCCCCTGCAAGGATTGGATGGACAAAAGTGCTTCCTAATCAATTGTTAGTGTTCACAGTATTATCACATCCATTAAAGTGTCTAAATGGTGTGTAGACAAGGAATATGAAATCCATCAATCAACAATCCTAACACCTGTATCAGATATCCTGAAAATGGAGAGGAAGATTTGGGAGCAGACAGACTATTGGAAGCAAACAGACAGGGACAAGGAGCAGTAGCTATTCCTGGCGATCAATTTGGCTGCACATGGAAAACTCCCTTGGGGGATTTGCCAAACAAATCAAGTTGCGCATTTTTCAAAACTTTAAATTCGACCTAATAGCTTGAGCAGACCATGCCCAAATGTACCAAGTTATAACTTGTATTTGACCCTACATAGACAGATTATACAGGTGCTATTGCATGTTTTCAATATCCCAGGCTCTGCTAAAGCACAAGGGAATCAAATATCTTTAGCTGCAGACCATACCAAGAAACCCCTGCCAAATTGAAGGATAATTATGTGACATTCTATGGCCATGGCCAGAATAGATACATCGAAATTTGATATAATGCACCCCTGCCCCTGCAGTAGACCTTGCAGTGGGCCCCGCATCTGACCCCTGCATCAATTTCAATGTCTTCCTATAAATTCCCAGTTGGCCTGTTGCCCTGCTCACCTCTACAAGATCTTCAATGAACAAAAATGGATCATAACAGACCAACCCTGGGG